TAACATCACAGTACAGTTCAGGAGGATAGGCCAGGGCAGGATACAGAGAGGGACCAGAATGAATGGTTTCCCCAGTGTTTACCAAGGACTGACTGTGCAGACAGACACTCTACAGGTAGAGGGACCCACTGTACAGACAGACACTCTACAGGTAGAGGGACCGACTGTACAGACAGACACTCTGCAGGTAGAGGACCAACTGTGCAGACAGACACTCTGCAGGTAGAGGACCAACTGTGCAGACAGACACTCTGCAGGTAGAGGACCAACTGTGCAGACAGACACTCTGCAGGTAGGGGTCCACGTTGTTTTTTGGGTTGCATGAGTTAAGGGCTGTGCACAGCACCACACGGAGAACTCCAGTTTTATTCTACCACTCTCTGTGTGTCTGTGTGTCTCACCTTCGGCTCCCTTGTTCTTTGTTCTCATTTTAGATTGAGTTCAGGGTTTTCTTAGGGGTTGTGACTTAGTCACTGCAGCTGCCCTTAACTGATTTTAGAGGCAGGAGACACAAGGTAAGACATTTCTCACTGAAGACTGAGAACACTGGGTTTCCTTTCGCCTGGCTCACCTTCTGTTGCAAATTTGCATTACACTTGTAAGGCGGGATGACACTGTACGAATTTCCACACTGGCAGAGTAGCAGTACAGTAGGAATTGTTGATGTTAGGATAAGGACTTTCATATGCTGTTCTGCATTCCCAACCTTTCCAGATGATGAAAACCCAGAACACAGAGAAAACAGATTCCACTGCTGTCAGTCATTTTGCTGGCAATTCAATAGAAAAGGTCTCATACAATAGTTTCTCCTTCGTTGCGTCCAAGTATTATCAGGGAGCATGCAACATTCCCTGCGTGCATCTGTTTCACCAAATGGAGTACATTTCTGTATACATTGCTTTGGAAGCCCTTTAGGCAGTAGGCACCTGGGGTCCATGGTGGACTTGAATTTTCCTTCAGTCCAAGTGTTATAGATCATACATATCTATCCTGTCTGATGTGGTTGGGAAAATTACCTTGAAGGTCTGTGTGTGTGTGTGTGTGTGTGTGTGTGTGTGAGAGAGAGAGAGAGAGAGAGAGAGAGAGAGAGAGAGAGAGAGAGAGAGAGAGAACAGAGAGAGACAGAGAGAGAGAGACAGAGACAGAGACAGACAGAGACAGAGACAGAGAGAGAAATAAAGAATGCTTTTTTTTGTCTCTTATCACCCAATTCATTAGCAAATGTTAGCACTCTGCCCAGTGTCTGTGCCTGTAGCCTTTTGTACCAGCAAAGAGCTCAGAAGATCAAGATAAAGGCGTTCTGCCAGAATCCAATCCTAAATAAGATCTTACAGAATTTGTTAATAATGCTCACATGAAAAGTTACAGCAAAGCGGCCAATGTGATTACCCAGAAGATGAAGCTGATGACCTTGAATTCCATCCCTGGGGCCACATGTTGGAAGAAGAGACAGAACTCTCACAAACTGACCTCCACACCTATGCATTGGCACACATGTGCGAACATACATGCACACAGAAAATAAACCAATACAAATGTAATAACTACTTAGTATTAACTTTGAGTGGGCATATATGTTAGAGAAAATTTAACCATGATGTAACAGAATTGTTGGATAACTGTGGATTATGGATTTAACTTCCATTATGTTTATTTCATAGACATGTAAGCAGATATGTAGTCACTCAGACTTGAGCAGTTCCAAAGGCAGAGAACTAATGTTGATCCCTGACCACATGCCAAGAATTGAGCCTCATGTATGAGCTCATTGAATCCTGGCAACGAGCCCTTGCCTTGGGTATGTGTATCATCAGGTTACAAATGAAGATTGGCAGTTAAAGATTTAAACCTCAGTAGGCAAAGCCATGCGAGGAATCCAGACTACTGAAGACCTCAGGGACACATGAATTACCAGGATGGGATCTTTGCTCTTGATGGAAAATGGCAAGCTGACTTATCCTATAATGATGAACCAACTATCCATATGAAATATATGTGTTAAGATGACCTGGTACCATGAAGAATCTTGTAAGTATGTGTTGGCTTCAACATCATTGTCTTTAAGTTAGATTTATCTGTAAGATAAATCCACTGGGGTGTGACCAAGCATGAATGCTCAGCTCAGTATTGCAACAAACATCTACCGTCCAAGGAAGGCTGTGTGCTGCTCACTAGATGTGTGGTCTTGAATAAGTTACTTCACCTCTTTGAGCCTAAACTTCTGGGTGAGGTTAGATGGGATCCCCATAAAGCCTGCAGGGCAGCACTAATGGGTGGAAGTTATCTGAAAGGAATGATGCTGTCATTTGCAGGAAAATGAGATCATCAGGTTAAGAAACATAATCTAGACACAGAGGGATAAATCGCATGCTTTACTCTCATATGCAGGATCTAGATTCAAATATACAACCTAAGACACGAGAGTAGAAGGGGCACTGTTTGAGAGGAGGAAAGATATTCTAGAGAAAGGGGAGTGAGCATGTGCTGTGGGATGTCTTTCTGTACGCTGTGACTATGTGTTGCTCTGACTGGTTGATAAATAACGCTGCATTGGCCTATGGCAGGACAGGATGGAGCCAGGTGGGGAAATCCAAGAGAGATAGTGAAAGGAAAAAGAGAATAGAGACACCAGCTGCTGCTTAAGGAGCAGCAAGATGCTAGCAGACCCATAATGCCACGGCCATGTGGCAACTTATAGATTAATAGAAATGGGTTAAGTTATAAGAGCTAGCTAGCAAGAAGCTTGAGCCATAGGTCTGAGCAGCTGTGGGTGGGACCAGGTGGGACACAGGAAAACTTCCAACTACAAACATGAGAAGGCAATGGGAGCTAGAATATGAGCCAAGTTCACAGCATATACAACAGGAACATGTATAACAAACCCATTGTTTTGTATGCCAACTAGGAAAGGTTAGATATTCTTATATTCCTTTTTCTATGTTCTAATTTTATATGTAGGGTGTTTTGCCTACATGTGTGTCTGTGCACCATATTAGCATGTCTATTGATGTCATCCTTGTTCAGACAGTGTGTTAATAGGATTTCATGGGTGGACTGCTCTGACATTTCTTGGAGACACAATCTCACAGCAATCTTCAGAGCTCTTTCAATCTTTCTGCTCTCTCTTCCGATATGATCCCCAAGCCTTAGGTGCAGGGGCTGTGTTGTAAATGTATCAGTTGGGGCTAGGCCCCACACACTCACCTGTTTCCTGCATTTTAATCAATTGCGGTTTTCTGTAACAGTCTCCATCTGTTACAAGGAACTGTTTTTTTTTTTTGTTTTTGTTTTTTGTTTTTTTTTTTTTTTTTGATAAGGTATGAAACCTATACTTACCTGTGGTTATAAGGATAAATATTTGGAATGTAGTTAGGAATCATGACGATTTAGTAAAGTGGTGGCTGTAGGTTCTTTTCCAAGGTCCTATGACTTCTCTAGCCCCAAGTAGTTGGCTAGGTTTCCAGTACCAGGCATGATTTCTCTCTTGTTCTGTGGGCCTTAAGTCCAATTAGAGAGCTCTTGGTTACTATCAAGACATGCATGCTACTGCCACACCCTTACTGATGCAATGTCATGTTGTTGTTATTTTCTGTTGTTGTTGTTGGTGGTGATGGTGTTTTGTTTTGTTTTGTTTTGTTTTGTTTTGTTTTGTTTTGTTTTGTTTTGTTTTGAGACAGGGTTTCCTCTGTGTAGTTTTGGTGCCTTTCCGGGAACTCACTCTGTAGACCAGGCTGGCCTTGAACTCACAGAGATCCACCTGGCTCTGCCTCCCGAGTACTGGGACTAAAGGCATGCGCTACCACCACCCAGCTCACGCTGTTGTTGTTTATAGGCACCATAGTTGGGTATGGCTATTGGTTGTTTCCCTCTCTGGGAAGCATGCACAGCACCTTCTGGAGTAATGAAGGCTAGTCCTCAGGAAGGTTTTGTGAAGTGTTCCAGGGGGACTGAATTCCCATTCTTTTTCACGGCACAATCTTATAACAGAAGCAGTTTCTCCAAAGATGAGGGAAGGGACTTAAATCTCCTATAAATATGTTTAATCATTTTAATGAGTCACTGGAACATAATTTCAGCACAATATTGTAATAGGTATTTTTCATTAATTTAAAAACTCTGTGAACAATTCAAACTAATCACATCAGTATTTAAGGTTGATTTTTTTCTTTACTGGTTGCCAGAAATGCCAAATGCAGGCTTATGTGGTCCCTGACATATCTTGAAAGAATGCCCCAGTGCCCAGATATTGAAACATTTAAACCAGCAGCCAGAAGGACAGCCAAGTCCTCAGACAGGGCTGCAGCATTTCTACCAGGATGGGATGCATTCGCCTGTTATGATGGGGATTTTCTCTCTGCCACCTCACTCAGTGTGTGACAACACTCGGCACTCAACCAGTACCACAGGAATCAGTGATAGAACCCGTCCTTTGTCGAATACAATTGGAGCCAATTGGCCGTCATCAAGTTGATTTTTTGTCATTTCAACCTGCTCTCCTTGGCACTAGCAAATACAAGAAATCTTTAGAGAGGCTTTTGTTCATTGTATTTAGGATAAGGCTGTCATGGCTTTTTCCAAGGGAGTGTATTATGCTACGTGTATTAGCTACTTTTCCCCATTTCGGTGACAAAAATATTTGACGACTTAAGGGAGGAATGACTTGTCTTTGCTCATGGATGACGGGTCCGTCATGGCGTGGTGATGGGAACAACATGGCTGCTGCAGAAGAGAATGGTGCTGCTTGTTCCCATCTTGGCAGAGCAGGAGGGAGAGAGAAGGATAGAAGCTGAACCAGGCTCTAAGTCCATAGGCTGATCCCTGGGGTCCCATTTCCTCCCTCTAAGCTCCGCCTTCTAAAGGATCCACAGTCTTCCAAAACAGAGCCACCAGCTGGGGCCACATGTCCCAGCACAGGAGCCTGGGGAGAGCCACCTTCAAACCACCACACTATGTAACCAGACGGGCATGCGGAGCAAGGCGGGAGTTGTCCTGCCGCCTCCAAGCTGATTAGGTGCACGTGGACGGTGACACTCAACGACTGTAACCGCACCGAAGAATTAATAAGAGCAGCAGGAGGCCCAAAGGCGGAGAGGGCTATCGGGGCCGTGGAATGTAATGAATGGCTGAGAAACTAGAGATAGACCAGAGAGGATTGGGAGGCCAGGCGGGGACCCTCTTTTAATATATGAAGAGGTCCTCGGATCCCGTCTAGCCTTTCTTTCGCCTTCTCAAGCAGCCAAGTCAGAAACCAGAAACCACGACACAGGTAGCCCCTGGGCCATCTGACTCCTCGTCACATGCGTTTCCCTTTGTGCCTTTCGGATCCTCCACGCCCTGGAGTAAGAGGTGACTGCTCAGTAAAGCTGTTGGAGAAGAGGTAAGAATAAGAGTTGGATTCGGAGACCTCCACATCGCCCTTTTAGCACAGTGTCTCAGAGACCAAGAATCTGCCTTGAGGGAGACAGACCCGTGTTTGCATCCCGGCCCCATGGTTCACTAGTTATGAAGTCATGTGCACATTCTCTTAGCTCCAGTTCTCTCATTCATAAAGTGGGGGTAATAGTCGTGCACACCTCCCAAGGCTGCTGTAAGGCTCCAGGGAGGGACAGACGCGTTTAAACTGTTTACTACAGGGTTCATGCATAGTAAGCACTCAGTGAACACATCAATGGAAAGGAATGTGCCAAGTCTACCTGTCATTTCTCCGTGCCCGATAACCAAGATTTCCACCTCAAACGGTCAAAGTGCATGCTAGGAAGAGCGCATGAAGTTCTTCAGAGGGCAGGGAAGTCAGGGTTTGTTTTCAAAATAGCTGCTTCCCTGCATGACGCCCAAGTATGTACACAGCACTTGAGTCTTCACAGTGGACTCCAGACTTTGGCTTTGTTTAGGGGTCAGGGTGGAATGGAGACAGGAAGAGCCGCTGAGACACCCTGGCCAAGAGCTGGAATCCAGGCTGGGGAGAGCAGGGAAGTGGGCCTGTGAGTCACAGCCTGGAAGGCCCCAGTGGCCGCGTCCCTCAGACTCAGACTCCTCACACGGGGGGACATTTCCTGCCCTTTGCACCCTGCCTCCACCCTACGAGTTTCTTAAGGCAAGTTATTTGGCTGACTTGCTCTAATCCAAGGGAAGGAGTGCTTTCTGTGACTGCCAGGGCTGGGGAACCCCCAAACCTTGAGAAAATATGTGTGAGGTGAGCTGGTTCACCAGCCAACACGGCAAAAGGAGGCTGGCAACATCGACTCATTTCCTTCTGGGGAGAAAGGCATAGACGACCTGTGAGCCAAGAGGCCAAAGCTCCCTGCTTCCTACACAAGGGCTACCAGAGTCCTTCCACAGAGCCCCTGGAAGGGCAAAGACTTCACTTTGATTTGGATGCAGGTGTCCCATGCTCTCCTCGGAGTTTCACATTGGAGCTCCATGTTGCATGAAGGTTGGCCTAGGAAGAGGTGGCCACTTGTGGGGAGAGCTGATGTGTGGTCCTCTTGGTCCAGACCCTCCGTCCTGACAGGTTTATGGAGGACAGAAGGCAGGGAAGTACCTCCCCCTCTTGGCTGTGACCTCTTTCCCTCATTTCAGGTTGGGACCCTGTTTAGGCCCTCTGGTCTGGAGACTGATTAGGCCCCAGGAGGCTTTTCCTGGGGTCATCGGGAACCTGGCCAGGCCTTGGAACATATGGCGCCGATAACAATCTCCCTCCCCAAGATAAGGAGCCATTTCGGGGACTCGGAGGAAGCCCGGGTTTGTTTCCATAAAGCTGGACAATGTAAAGTGTAATCCCTACACAGATGTAATTAGCTGTTAAGCATATTGAGTCGTGAGGAAGGAGTGCTTGCTGCCTCATAAATTACCGTGAGTCTGCCCAGGGGCACCGAGTGGAGGGCAGGTATCTTTTCCTGCTAGATTGTTAGCATGGCACCTGATGATGGATTAGGCAGCTGATCTTGCCGGGTTCCAGCAAACACGGAGCTCTCAAGGAAGCAGCGACTGGAGGAGCTGCAATCATGAAGGACTAAGGCTCTTTGAGCCTTTTGTTTCCACAGTGAGAGCGGCGCTGGCAGGTTGTATTATGCCTAACTATGGCGAGGGACTCCGCGTCTTTTCTGTGGACTTCAGGGTTTGGTATTATGATGTGGGTTTCCTGGGAGGGCCAGGTGATCCTAGTAAAGGATGTTTCCCCTTTAAAACTGGCAAGGAAGCCAGTTAAACTTCACAAGTCAATTAAAGTCTGCCAGAAGGAAGGATACTCGATGGCCCTCCGTCATCTTACATGCTAATGTGCTTTGAAATGACTTCTACTAATTTTATGTAAATAACAACGACAAAGACAATCAGTGTTGTTAAGAGCTCGTTCTGTTCTGGGAATATAACTAAGTATCCAGAGTAGTGCTCAGTGCTCAGTATTAAAGGTTCATAAATCTGATCTTCGCTATAAGAACTCTATAAGCTTGGTCATTGCCAATGTACAGGTAGAGAAACAGAGGTTTAGATAGGTCAATTATCTATCCAAAGTTGGAATTTCTAGGTATTGGATCCAGGTTTAGACTCCAGATGCCCATTCAAGAATTCATGCTCATAAAACTGAATGAGCCCTTATCGGTCACATCTCTCATTCCTCGGGCTCACGCTGGTATTAAGATCAACAAGAATCAACTGTGAAGACAATTTGGCAGAGATTTCAAAAAATAATCTATTTACTTCCTCTAGTTTGATCTTTTGAAACTCATTGGGACTTTTTTTTTTTTTTTTTTTTTTTTTTTCTTTTTTTTTGTTTGTATCCATTCTAAGTAACTTGGGTATCTTTAAAACGTCACTTATTTTTATTTTTATTTATGTGTATGAGTGTTCTGCCTGCGTGTATCATGAGCACACAGTGCCCAAGGAGGTCAGAAGAGGATGTCTGA